GTTCTTGCGAAGACGTGCTGACCAATTGCCTTGCAAGTCCGACGGGGGTCCTCTCGGCTGTCGCACGGGATGTGCAGTGCCGTGACTGAAGCGAGGTGACGACTGACCGGCTGGTGACGAAGCATGCCTAGGTGATGACAGATACGGCGATCGAGCCATCGGCGCCAGCAAATTCTGCGACGTCGCAAACTGCCCGCTTGAATCACTCATCAGTCTTGGAGCGTGTCGATTTTGAGGTTCGAATGCAGTCAGAGTTCCTGGAGGCGCGCCCAATCCTAATGACGCGACGCTCTCTGGACGACGACGCCGAGCAGTGCTGAGACTGGGATGGCTGGATGGAGGTGTTGCCCTGGATAACATGAAAGGCGGCTGGAGACCAGGTCTGCACGTCAAATTTGAGGCCGTATCTGTGGCGATTGCTTGTTCCGTCAGGTTGAGCGCGAAGCTCGCCGCGCCTTCTCCTTCCTCGAGTTCAGCTTGGCGTGCAGCTGCGATCGATTGTCGTTTCCTTCGGGCCAGTGCTGATGCAACAAGCGGATTGCTGAGTGCGATGTCGTTCAGTTGAGCCGATTCGGGCACATGTGTGTGCAACGCGAGATCGCGAGTGGCGCTGGGCCCTGCATACTCGAGCCGTTCGCCCGAAGGGGACGCTGGATTGAGCGGCGAGCGGTCTGGCGGCGTCATGGTTGGGTCGAAGTTGCGAAAGCTAGCCACAACATGATCTGCACCCAGTTGCATGGCCGCGAGCGCCCTTGAAGCGAGATCGAGATCGGGGCCTGAGCCCTGGACGTTGCGACTGGGTGCGCCGTGCACCGAATTGCGCAAGCCTGCTAGCAGGTGACGGCGACTCGTCTTGTGGTCATCAAGTGGCGCCTGCGTTACCTGATCGAGATCGCCAACTTGAGACATGCGTTGCGGTCGAGTCGAGATCCTCCGTGGCTCCAACCTGTTTCAGCCAATGCACTCGTCGTCTTGGACCGAAACTTGAATCAGCTTCACATCTCGCTATCACTTGTCGCACAAAAGCAAGGCGATGTGGGCATACCTGTGGTGCACGCGCACGGCCCGCGCCGCGGCGCCGAAAGACGATCTCTTACACGTCGATACGTTGACGACTGCAGCACGGAGCGATGCAAGCAGTATCCGAGGTCTCACGGAAAGACCGAACGGCCGAGCACGGCCAGGTGGCCGGAGCAGGTGGCGAGCGCAAGCGCGAGCAGTTGAATGACAACAAGAGGAACCAGCAGCGGAAACGAAAATCAAAGAAAAAAAATTGGAAATCATGCGATGTGCGAGTCATGCGTTTGATGGCTTGCCAATGCCTTTCTCCTTCGGCACATGTGTGAATGCTCCTTCGGCGAACCAGCTGGCGTTTGCTTCATCGACTTTTGCTCGGAGTTTGGACGGGTCGACAAGCTCGAGACCTGCAGCAGCGATACGAGATCAGCAAGTCATTCAGACGAACTGACAGCTCTCCCGCGAGATGCCAAATCTGTCAATCTCACCTTGGACAGGCGTGAACGCCAACGAAGTCGCCAATCCGGACGTTGCTGAAGTCGCACCCTTGATCGAGGCCAGTCGACCCTTCGACATTTTTGACATTTTGGCTGTGCAAATTGGAACCAATGGAGATTGATCAACAGACGTCGAAGATTAGTTGTCGAGCTCGTTGCGCACCTTTGCTTCGAGCCTCGCCTGTCTCGGCTCGGACTCGACCACTCGAACTGCCAATCATGCCCAGGCCTCGTGTCTCGTCAAAGGCTCCGGTCTCTTCTTCCGCTTGACCGAAAGCCATGCGGTTTTGCTGCTTGCGCAACTCTGTCATGGCATAGGCCTCTTTTGCTTTTCGAGCTCTGCAGAGTTGTCGTCGGGGGATGAGCGGTGGTTGTCGCTGTGCCGTGTCAGTATCATTGTGGCTCACCGTTTTCCTCCTCTGTGCGCTTTCTTCTTCTCGTCTGGACGGGGCAGTGCTTTCGTGACCTTTTTGGGCGCCGGTCTTGCCAGACGTTCAAATTCTCTTTCAAGTTTTTCGACCATATCTTCTCCAAAAGACCCGTCCGAGCTTGAGCCCGCAATATCGACGCGAGCGGCCAATGCTACCTTGGCGCCAACTTTTCTCTGTGCTTTCATACGGTCTTCTCGTCTTGCAGACTGAACAAGTGGGCAATGGTAAATAAACCCCGTGTGTGCTCGGTCGACCGAATGGGACGCTGTCGAAAATCCCGTGCTTGCCCGCTTACTGGCACCGAGCAGCTACAAGAGGCAGGTGTAAAGGTCATCAGACCGAGACTCTTCTGATCTCTGTTATGGAGTCCGTCCACAGAAACTCACATAGACGTTGGCATGCGGAATTCTGGTCAGACCCTGCAGGCCCCCGGCAATGCCCAAGACTTTGGTGGCTGTCTGTGTGCCGAGGATCACTGACAGGTTAGGTGCCAGCAATGAGATTCGTGATTCGACGTATTCAAGGATCTGTTGTACCAATTCGCAGTCATCAGTTTTCGCCAACAAGCTTAGAACGAAAAAGCGGGAGATCAAGTGTAACTGACTGTGCGTTTGGCTTCGTCGAGTTGGAACATCATCTTGCATGCGTCGACTACTGTTCGCCACTCGGAGTCGTCTAGCTGTCGGCCCTTTGTCGTTGCCGCTGTGACCGTGACGGCCATGACTGTGCCAGACGTGAGGATGCCAGTCAAATCACCTCGCAAGTCGGGACCGTTGCCGAGTGCCAGAATGACCCGACAATATTGAAGTGGAGCAGACACCAGAGAATCGAGTTCTGGGAAACGAGCAAGGTAGTGATCTCGAATGAACTGTTGCCGCCACCGCCCGCGACCGAGATACGTCATTCACGCGAGCGTAGTCATTCTCCGCAGGGAAGCGTACACACCTTGTGAACAATCAACATCTCATTGTCGATTTCGACACTGAGATTGTTCGCTTGCACGATCAATTGATATTCGGCACTGTCGCTCTCCGTCAAATCCGAGTCTGGGTGCTCGCGATAGTAGGTGATACGCTGACCAACAGGACCATGGTATGAACAATTGTCTTTAACGTTCTGTACAAACGAGTCACACGGCTGGCTAGCTGACTGACCTGGAGCACGTCGCGCATCGTTGAACTATTGGCGAGTTTGGCAACCTTTGCAACCTCAACCACGTCACCCAAAGCCATTTCGTTGACTGCTTCAGGATCAAGCTCAGCTGTCGGTTTGACGCCTCCTTCAGGCACATGCACATCATCGCCATCTTGGTCCGCGAGCGGCATCGGCCGTGCTCCATCGTCGTCGCCGCCATTCTCATAGGTGCTGTCATGCCGTTGCTCTTCAAAGTCGCTCACGCTTCCAGCATCACTCTCCAGATCATTCATCAGCTCATCGGCGAGAGTCGCCATGGTTGAGGGCGCGTGAAGCTGGCTTAGGATCAAGCCTCAAGCAGAATCCTAAGTGCAAATTGCTGCGTGACTCGTTCAAGATATCGATAGTGAGGCTACAACGCCCGGAGCATGGCACTGGTTACAACAATCTGAAATAAGTCTGCTTGAAATCTGACAAGACGAGCCTTCTTTATTCGCCTCTCACGAAATTGCGACGGTTCAACAGTGCTCCTACGGCACATTTGAGCATGAGAGACAGGTCAGCTCAACTTGGATCTCGGCGCTCAAGTACTGGTCAATTGTGTGTAACTCACCTTTGACCGATCTGATCTCGGCTTTGAGTGTCGATACGGCCTCGAGCAAGACTTTGCGCTCTGACGACACGGTAACTGCTGGAGCACCATACGGTCGGTAGGACGAAGTCGTGGCCGAGTGAGTCTCGGTCTCAATGTAGTTGCACAGTTTGTCAAGGGAGCTGACAAGTGCCGTCGAAGTCGACGTGTCGGCTGCATCCTCGAGCGGTAGTAGAGTTCCTTGACGGTCGGGTAACGTCGTTGCCTCGCCTGGCCGAGGCAACTCGGCACTCAATTCCGACAATTTTAGAATGATGGGTTCGAGAACCTGTGCCGTCATGCGAGGCTTCGCAAAGGAGTTTTCACATGGCTGGTCAGACTTGAGCTCTGATTCTCTCGCTTCCTCCCCTTCTGCCGTCTGTTGACTGGGCTTCACATCGATTGCTTGCTTGTTGTCATGCTCTTCATTCACATCCGACTGTCCCGGATATTGCGCAAGGGGACCGGCCGAGCCATTGATAATGGCAAAGCCCCTCGATGTCGCAAGGGCGGCAATGTCTCGAGTTAGACGAGAGTAACGCTCTTTGTGAGTGTCCAGCAGTCGCGTCTTCATTTGTAAAGCCAAGAGCAACCTTGGATGAACGAATGACTGTGTGGCGTAGTTAGTGATCTCAGTGACGGATCAGTCGGATAGCCTGCCGTGACTCGCGGTGCAAGCGTCGGCAACACGAACCTTGAAGATCCAAGCCGAGGCGGCGCTCAAAGAGCCTCCAACTACAAATACGAGGATCGCCAGCGTTCGAATGAAGCGGGGTACGGTGGAATTCGGCGCATAGGCCGGAGGGAGCGCTGTCACGTGCCGTCGCTCGGCAGCCGGATGTACGTAGTCTTTGGGCGGCAAGGCGTGTTGACCATTCTGCACTTGAGTCTGGAATATAGTTGGGACGTCATGTGATTTTAACCGACCTCTTCCTGCGTCAGCGTTTGATCATTGGCGTGCACATTCAGTCAAGCTCACTGACGTCGCCGGTGCCAAAGGTGCAGGCGGCGGAGCAGAGTCACTCTTGCCAGATAGTACAGTTGGAGATTGTGTCGATGCAGCTGTCAGCTCTGACGGTGTGCTTGGCTCATCTGGCATCGTCGACGAAGGAGACAGAGGCGCGCTATCCGGCCCAATCGGCAGCTCAAGCGCCCGGCGTGTCCCTCACGAGACACACCCTAGCATTAGGAGCTGCAGGGGCAAATTGATGCCAGAATGCTAAAAAAAATTGCGAATGTTCAATGTAAGGTCAATTCTGACCCCGACGGGGGACCACAAAAACAAAAGTGTTCCCCATCGGGGAATTGAACCCCGGCCCTCGGCGTGAAAAGCCGATATCCTAACCACTAGACTAATGAGGATGTGGCACATGTAAGCAATCATCTTTGAGTACATGGATCCCAAAATCCACCTCCGCGGAGTTGTCTTTATGGGTGGCAAAGATCCTGTTCCTAACGCTCCAGTCACTAAACCGCCTGCACAGGTGCCCACTCCACCGTCAACTGACGGGGTAACCAGCAATGCTACATCTTCTGCTCCTGCAGCAGCTGACAATGAAGGGGACGCGCGCCTTGGAGAGACAAACACTGCAACGACACTACCAACACCAGGGGTGCAAGCGTCAAGCAGCAACGCGCAACAAATGCCTCTGATGTCGCCTGACGAGATCACTGACAAGATTACTGACAACAAAGAGATGAGAGACGCGCAAGACAGCCGCACAGACGAAGCCATTCAGGAAGACGACGATATGGCTGATGCGGACGACGTGGCCGTGTCTGACACTGAGTCGGAACCTGAGCGGTCATTCAAGCGACTCGCAACATCTGCTTCGCAGCCCATCCTGCCCAGTGCGCGCACACGTTCCGACTCTTTTGTAGCACCAGCGACGCCGACTCCATCGGTTGGTCCTCCTCCGGCTTCTCCACACAAACGTGTTCGTGAGCGCTCTGTTCGGAAGACACCATCAACTGCAGGCGGCAGAAGTGGCGGCGTCTCTCACTAAAATAAAATAAAATGACACCTAACACTCTCACTTTTGTGACGTTCAACGTCCGGAGCGTCGCAAACACAACGGTCATGCGGACATTACTAACTTATTTACAGGCAAACAATCAACATCCTCCTTTTGACATAATCATGATTCAAGAACATCAAATCAAGAAGAAACACGATCAACAGAAGCTGAGGTTAGCATGGGGAGGCCCAGTGTATTTCACAAAACACTGTGCAACCCTCATTTCACCTCGGTCAGTTCTGTATCAGCGTTCTTTTTCTTTTCCCGAAACCGCACCTTTCACTTTCACAGGAGAATCTCAACATGATGGTCGTGTCGCCCACTGCACGATCAAATGTCGGGACTACAACGTGCATATGTACAACATATATGCCCCCGTCGATCCAAAGGATCGAAAACCCTTTTTCGAGAAGATCACGAGTATTCCGGCAAGAAGGCCTGGCGCCGAGCAGCCGAGACTTGTACTCTGGGGTGGCGACTTCAACGACTGTCCTGACGTTCGGATCGACCGCAAGCAACAGGATAGTGCTGCTACGCACTGGTACATCCTTGATGCGGCTCTTGATCGATCGTTTGTGGACGCAATGCGACACGTGAACAAGAATACGGCGGGTTTCACGCGCCCAACTGTTCGCGGTGGCAAAGTCACGGGCTGGTCCCGTATTGACTTGGTCCTTGTTGATGCAACATGGGCAAATCGATTGCACAACGCCGGAACGCTTCTCGATGCGCCTCTCTCTGATCATCGACCAGTGTTTGTCACTGTCGATATGACAAACGAGCGTTTGTCTGCGAAATTGCCATCGACCAGTCGTTACTTAACTCGAGTTAACGCTGCCACCTTTGACACAGC